CAAAATATTATTTTCTGCCCATTTTTTTACTTCTTCATTTAAGAAAGGAAATGAATTAAAAGGGCTAGTATATGGGGGCCCCTCTCTTTTGTAATGATCTCTTGAAAATGTTTTTAATTGAGGGTATTTTGTGACGTAATCGGTGGGACATCTTTCTTTACAGAGAGCAAAGAATTGTTCCTCCGTTTCTGCTTCGCCAAGTATTCCCCTCCACAGTTCGTCTCTGTTTTTCGAAGAATACTTCAGATACCCCTTCATTTTACAATACGTAACCCCCCTTTTAATATTGGAATTTTCAAGTCGATACTTCACCATCCATGGCACCTATTTGTCGTTAATTGAACAATAACCATTCCCATAATAGACTAACTCGCATTGACAATCTACTGGGAAAATAAACCATGCCTGCAAACCCATGGCATGAAGGTGAGGGTTTCCATCTTCATGGAGCTCCCTTGCGACAAGTATGTAGTATGGCTGACAGGCTAGTTGGAGGAGAGACTGCAGGAGTTCTAAGAGTTGTTCTTTTGGGCATGGGCATTGTGGGTAGGTGAGGAAGACATTCTTGGCATAAAAACGGAAGGAGGCTTGGCGAGGCATGATTTAGCTTATTTAGTAATTAACACTTAACTTACACTGGTGTGAATGTTGTTTGTCGAGGGCTTATATAGGGGGAGGTCACACCAGCTGGGGGGGGCGCTATATATAATATTACTAGCGCCCCCCCTTGTTGAAATTGTACCCGATAGGCAATTTCATCCGTCGATAGACGTACGGATGGTGACGTGTAAGGTGGAGATTAAATCCGTACTCACACCAAATAGTAATCACTGTTTGGTGTGAGTGGTGTGAGTAGACGTGGCCGGATCCTGTCTACCCACGTGTCACGATCGTGGTGGTTTTGCTTGGCGACAAAGCAAAGGTGCACAGAATTCCGCGTGAATGAACAGTAATGGGCGGGAATTCAAATTTTAAATTCCGAATCTCCGTATTTACAGCTGTTTTTGGGTTACTTTGGCACTGTTGAAAAAGAAGATATTGCTTGTACTGGGCAAGAAAGTGGTGTCCTGAATGAGTTACTCGGAACTGAATCTTTGAGGAATGAATTAATTGGTTTAAGAACTGAAACTTTGAGGAATGAGTTGACAAAAACTGAATGTTTGAATAATGAGTTGATGAAAACAGAATCCTTGAAGAATGAGTCAAGCAACACGTCAGACAATTTTCATTGTTTGCAGTTGCAAAATGGGATGCATCTACCTTTCAGTTTGAGTGTTGAGCAGGTTCAACAGTTTTCATGGATTCAGAATGATAATAATCAACATATGGCATCACCAAAGGAATCAAATCTGTTTGCCAGAAGGTGAGTGGTACTGTCATCAAGCTTTAAATCTTTAATGCATGCATGAAAACATGCTCTTTTAGAAGTCATTATACAACTTTATTTTGCTGGATCCTTATCTAGAATGAAAACTATTGTTTTATGTAGCAGTAAAAGAACAAGAAGATATGTCTTTGAATATTTTGTTCCCAACAAGTTGTAATATATTGTCTTTCCTCTGGGGAAACCGAGTTTTTGGCAGGTAACTCCTTTGGGAACTATTCTGGGTTCTTTGGTACCACCGAAAAGCCAGACATTGCTAGCATTGGGCAAGCAAGTGGTGTCCTGAACGAGTTACTCAGAACCGAATCTTTGATGAATGAGTTGATTGGTTTAAAAAGTGAAACTTCAAGGAATAATTTGACACAGAATGAATCTTTGAGGAATGATTTGATAAAAACAGAATCCTTGAGTAACAAGCTAATAAAATCCGAGTTTTTGACCAATGAGTTGATAAAAACTGAACATTTGATGAATGAGTTGATAAAAACCGAATCCTTGAGGAAAGAGTTGATAAAAGCCGAACCCATGAGAAATGAATTGATGAACAGCAAATCCTTGAGGAACGAGTTGATCAATACCAAATCTTTGAGGCTACAGCTGTATGGGCAAGACTCTTACCCATCATTCAATTTCAGTATTCTACCTGATAATAAATTCCAACCAGCACAACAAACGAACTTGCAACAAAGTATTGACGATTATTGTGCTGAAGGAAACTTTGAACAGCCTCAATCTGGGTATGATTCCATGCATTGTAATTGTGCTTCTACGTCCGGGCCTTCCAGCATTGCTACTTTTGATGAGTATTTATGCCCCCAGGCAAGTTTGTCTTCCATTTGATTCCAATTTAAGTTACTTCTATCCACTCATCATTGGATATGCACAGCAAGTCATTTTTCCACCAAAATGAAACACCATTATGCAATCCCCACCTTCTCTCCCATATTAAGCAGGAGTTGACCTAATTCTTGCTATAATCACACCACATCTTTGGCTTCTTATTTTCTCAATGTTTTGCTTCCAGAGCAAAACACTTGAGTTTAGCCTAGTGGCCAGAGCCTCTGTATCTCACAAAAACCAACATAATAACATCTTAATCCTAATTAAAAACACAAAGCACAAGCAAGTGATGGCCAGCCTCCACCGTTTGAGAATGTATGATAAACAAAACCATTAACATTTAAATTATACATGCAAAATGTACAACAAATCAGCTTGTAAAATCAAAGCAACAACAAATTAAAGTGAATTGTGAGTAAAATTACAAAGCTGAATCTCTAAATCACAGAGCTGAACTGACAGAGATAACTAGGGTTTAGACAGCACAGAGAGCGAGAGAGAGAAAGGGGGAGAGAGAGAGAGTAGCTCACCGATCTGAATCGATTTTGAGAGAGAACTTCGAAATGGCTCGGATGAATCACCGATCTGAATCGATTTTGAGCGAGAACTTCGAACAGTGCAGAGAGGGCGAGAGAGACGGAGAGAGAGAGACCGCGAAAGTGAGAGTGAGTGAGAGCGCGAGAGTGAGATTGAGATTTTCGCTTATACTGCTTATCATATTCAAAATAAAGGTGAAACAGGAGAGAAGCGGGGGTCGAACAAAAAACCATCCAAGGCGTTTAAAAAACGTCTTTGATTCTTGAAACGGCGTCGTTTCAGTTACAGAAAAACAAGACGTTTCTAAAACGCCGTTAAATATTGGAAACAATGGCGTTTTGAAAAACGCCGTTAAAAAAACGCCGCCTAACCCCATATTTCCTGTAGTGCCCGAACTACTTTTGAAGAAACCTGTGAAGTTCTTCATTTAAATTGTTCAGGTTTAGTTCTAAAGTTCATAAATGACTTAACTTAGCAAAGGATTTTGGAAGGCCACCATCAAGTTGATTGTCACTGAGAGAGATTCCCAAAGGAAAGCATGCCTTCAAAAGAATCAGGAATTGAACCTATTAACTAGTTTTCGGAAAGGTTTGGGTCAGTAAGGCTACTACTAAAGTTAAACAACCAACCAACTGTATATTGAAAAAGATAGATCGTTATAAGAGTAAAAGAGTCCAGAAAGAGAGAAAAAAAAAAGAAAAAATTGAAAGGAAGTGAGGAATGAGTGATATTTGGAAGTCTACAGCCACACAAACTTGTCTCTTTTAGGAGAGGGGGATCATTGATAGATTGAACCCAGTCGACTGTGGATTATATTGAAATACAAGTTGAAGTTGAAGAATTATTTATTGTAATTAGAAGATGAACAACCGAAGTAAAATTCATGTTATTGAAGGTTCAAAAGTGGCAAGGCACAACATCTAGTATGAATATGATATAAATGAAAGCGAATTTTTTTAATGAAGTCCGAGTTAATGAATGACATACACAGGAATAAAGGTCTATACACATAGTTTCTCTGTCAACCCACACACATAAAAGTCATCCAGATCCTAAATGAGCATAAAATTAAATGAAAAGGACCCTAAACACATGACATGTTTTTTAGCCACTCAGAATATAGACGTCAAAGTCAATGCTTCAGATTTTTATATAAATTAACTACAAAATACCATAAAATATATAAGGGATAATTTTGAGTATGCATAAAAAAGAAAATAATGTGAACAGATGGCATACACGATGTGAATAGATAACATTTATGTGAATAGATAATAATGTGAATAGAGATCCAAGTCAAATGCCTCTTGTTTTATCTACTCATATCAAGCATGACTAATATATAATAGTACTCTTAAATATATTATGTCCAAGTTGTTGACTAAATCAATATAATGATTTCAATCAAGAAAATTTAGAATCAAATAAACCAATATGTAACACCTGTATATTCATATGATGTGCACCACACGTATATTCGAAGACTTAAATTTTGAAAAATACCTTGCTTATATGTGACACAGCTTAGACAAGGATAAACCATCACAAGGCTATGAAGCATCATACTTGCTTTTTTGCTCTTCTCCTGTTCCTTCTCTCTGATCTGAATAGCATTATTGGTTGCCATGACAATGAAAGAGCTGCTCTCTTAAGTTTCAAGTCCTTCCTTAGAGACCCTTCGAATCGGTTGGCTTCGTGGCAAGGCCAAAACTGCTGCTTCTGGCATGGAATTCGCTGTTCAGACTCGAACCATGTCATCGCTGTGAATCTCACGAATCCTAATCCAGGGAGCCTCATTCTTAACTCAAACTCAAAACTAGTCTCAACTTCCAATAATGTTACATATGCTGCTCTGGAAGGTACAGTTTCTCCATCTCTCTTTACCCTTAGTCGTATTCGTTATCTTGATCTTAGCTTCAACAATTTCTTGTTTTCCAAGATACCCACTGGATTGTCCAATCTCACAGAACTCACCCACCTCAGCCTTTCCAATGCCATGTTCAAAGACACGATTACTACTCAGTTTGCAAACATCACATCACTGAGATTGCTCGATCTCTCATGTTCGTATTTAGTACCTGACACATCATCCATTTCATATAACTTGACATCCTCAAGATCCTCTGCTGGTTCTCTTTGGTCATAGATCAATAGTGGCGAGATTTCCTCCTCAAGTTTGAATTGGTTATTGGGGCTCCACAATCTTAGAGTACTAAAATTGAGTGGTGTTGATCTATCAATGGCATCTCAGTCAACTGAATGGACTAAACCGATATCAATTCTTTCCAAACTGAAAATCATTCAACTATCCAACTGTGAAATTGTTGGCAAACTCCCCATAAATGAGTTTCTTAACCTCACTCAACTCTCTTCTCTCGAAATGGACTACAACTTCCTAACCTCCTCAATCCCAACACGGCTAGCAAATATCACCTCTCTTTCGATCCTTGATCTGTCGAGCTCTAACTTACAGGGTTTTCTCCCTTACCTTCCCCAATTGAGAGAACTTCACATAAGCAACAACCCTGGCATCACAATTGATCTGAGTTCAATGTTCAGAGCCCCTTGGGGCAATCTAGAGATACTAGATATTGGATTAAATCATGTTAATGAATCAATTCCAACTTTCATTGCCAACATGTCTTCGTTGTTGTATTTTTCAGCGGAGAGTTGTTCAATTCATGGACCCATACCTCCTTCCTTATACAACCTGTCAAAACTAGAATACTTAATTCTCAATTTCAATTACATTACAGGCAATCTTTCTTCATCAATCTCCAATTTACAAACCCTCCAATACTTGTCTTTATTCCAAAATTCTCTACAAGGACACATCCCAGATTCAATATGTCAAATCTCCTCCCTACAATATCTACATTTAGCAAGCAATAAAATGACAGGGGAATTACCTGATTGCATTCGCCGGCTTACCAACCTCAGTGTTCTTCTGCTTAGTGAAAATAACTTGACCGGTACTATCACTTCATTGATGTGGTTGTCCCAAAACTCTAGTCCATCTATGATTGGCCTGGGATCAAGTGGGCTAACTGTAAAAATCGGCCAATACCCATTTTCACCTGGCTTTTGTTAGACATATATTTCTTCTGACAATAACGAATTTACAGAACATTAAAAACAGAATTTTATTCTTAACAGAATAATAAAACAGATTATAAATCAAGACAGTACTTACAACTTTTCTGTAGAATCAAACTAAGAATAAATTTGTGATTGAGGCCAGTGTTTGGACACTGTGTCTTTAAGACAGAAATTCGTCCTCTCCTAGGTGCTTGAGAATAACGGACGTCCTGCCTCCAGGATTCAACAATCACCCCAAACAGATGCAGCACTACAAACTGAATGTACTACGAACCAGATTGTATTTTTGAACTTACAAAAGATGCAAAATGAAGATGAAGAAAAGCAGAGTGTTGTGAAGACAGATACGGGTTCAAAAGTTATCTCTGACAAGGAATGGAGGGTTGATATATATAGGCTGAGAGGTGCCTATTCCGAAATAGAAAAACTGTTATCAAACAGTTGCCAAGTCGGAGTCGCGACTGTTGGAATTTGAGAAGGATCATAACCGAAAATTTTGAATTTCAAAATTTCGGTATTTGTATTTTTCCCGCAGAATTTATTTGAAACATTTCAAATAATTTTGGAGCAAAAACAAAGGACGGGTTAAACCCACACCCGCCGGACGGACGGCGGCGGCGGCGCGCGCGTGTGGTGATGGTTTTGGGTTTGTCCATAACTCCTCCTCCTACAAAACTTGGGTACCCCTTGGGGCCCAACCCAAGGTCTCCAACTTAGAGCTTATAAACACTTTGAAACTATTCTAAGTTTCCTATGTGGGACAAGGTTTTTGGATACCAACTCAAAGGAACCACACAAAACATTTTTCATGTTTATGAGGCTCACTTCGGTATCAATTTCTCATTCACTCGTAAATGATTTCGACCACCCGAGTATATATTCTTGTTTACCACATGGCAAGGAACGTATTGCCACTCGGACCCACCCAAACCGAGGTGTGGGACCTACATTAATTAAAGCTCAAAGTTACCGAAAATTAATGGTGAAAATACCATTTCTCTAACAGCTTTCAGCCAATCCAGCTGGACCTGAGTTCATGCAGTATAGGGGGAGGCATACCGAATTTTGTTTCAAATCTGACCAATCTTGAGTACCTAAGTTTGGCAGATAACAACCTATCGGGGACAATACCATCTTGGCTGCTCAACCTTCCCAGGCTGGGATACTTGGACCTTTCTTCCAACAATCTGCAAGGAGTTATCCCACCTAATATTCGGCTTCAACTATGTTTTGGACCAACAACACTGAACTTAGCGGGAAACCGCTTGGAAGGGCCTATTCCTCTCCTTCCAGAAACCATAGAAGCCGTTGATTTATCCAGGAACAATTTCACAGGTGGTATACCGACCCAAGTTGGAGGGCTTCAAAATGTCAAGTACTTATCTTTTTCAAGTAACCAGCTCTCTGGACCTATCCCCCTCTCCTTTTGTCATACAAACAATGTTCTGATGCTCGTTGATCTATCAAATAACAGCCTGTCGGGGACAATCCCTGCAAGTCTAGGCAACTGTACGTCCCTCATTTCTCTCCGCCTTGCTAGGAACAATCTCAGGGGAAACATCCCCAATGAACTCAAGGCTGCAACTAATTTGATATTTTTACAACTAAATGGAAATCATTTTAGTGGTCCTTTCCCAACTTTCATTCGAGAGCTTCAAAATCTGGAAGTCCTGAATCTGGGAAATAACAAATTCGAAGGAAATATTCCACGTTTCATCGGAGATCTTCAAAAGCTCCGAATCCTTGTGTTGGAATTGAACTCGTTCAATGGGTCAATCCCAAAAGAGATCAACAATCTATGGGACTTGCAATTTATTGGCTTCTCCAACAATAAACTCTCTGGTGCCATCCCTGATAAATTGCAATGCTTTAAGATGCTGACAAGCAGGCCTAGAAGAAACATTATAGGCCGCATCATCTCATTTATGTATAGTGGTGTTGATCTAAACATTGTGATCAAAGGACTACCATATGAACTTGATGTGATCTTCACTGACAATAGTGGGATAGATCTTTCGTGCAATTTGTTGACAGGACTGATTCCACCTGCAATAGGCCTTCTTGAAGGTCTGTTTATGCTGAATCTTTCACATAACAGTCTATATGGTGAAATCCCAATGAGCATAGGTAAGATGAGTGAGTTGGAGTCACTTGACCTTAGTTTCAACAATTTGAGTGGGTCGATTCCAATGGCATTGGCATCATTAGACTTTCTATCATACTTGAATCTGTCCTACAACAATTTGAGTGGTGAAATTCCAAAAGGGATGCACTTTGATACGCTGTTCGGAGATGGATCACCATATATTGGGAACAGGTTCTTATGTGGTGCTCCTGATGGTCCAAACTGCAGCAGGAATGGTTCCTCAAGTTCAGAGACCGTTGATGCTGATGACGATGCAAGACAAAAATGGTTGTTCTATGCAGTTGTGACTATTGGCTTTGGGGTTGGACTTTGGGGCTATTTAGCCATCATGTACTTGATGAAGGAGAAATGGAAAAAGGTGTATTGGGAGTTCATTGATAGGGTTGTGTTGAGAATCACCAGATGCATTACAAAAAACTGAAACACAGTGAAATTTTTTTATGTAGTAGTTAAGAATCAAGTATGTAAATCTGAATTTTTTTTTTTATTTTTTTATTTTTTTGTAGCTGTGTAGTAAATTACAGAACTTATTTATTTGTATGAGCTTAATTTTCAAAATTGATTAATCAAGTGAGAAAGCAACAAGAAATTTTTTTTAAAAAAAAAAATTAAGACCACAAGTTCAATGAAACAACTAGGGATCAACCTACTAGGAACCTAATAGGAATTTTTCCTAGCAAAAGTACACACGCGCGAAAAAAAATAGAGTATATTTTTATTTTACCTAACCACTTTAACTAGTTTGTTCTCTAATAATCCTCTCTTTTTCAAGAAAAACAATGCACATTATTTTTTTAAAAAAAAGACATTTCATTGTGTGACAATTGGGCACTACAGTTCAAAGACAAACCAATGAAATTTATCTTTAATTCAAGACATTTATTCATCAACAAACAAAAATTCAAATTTATTTATTTATTTTGCTACAGTCAAATGCCAAAAAAATTCGAAATTCAACTACATTGGATGATTTCATTAGATGCCAATGAAAACCAATCAGTGGTGGAAAGACTCTAATAAAAAAAAATTAAAGGTTCAATATTTGTCTATAGGTGCCTAATTGGATGATTTCAAAGATTACATAAATACATAAGACAATCTTGAAAATCCACAAGAGTAACTAAGCTCTAAACAAGATCCTACACAGACATACATCTTCTATATATCACTAATTTTATAAACCAACCCAGTTTGAGGGAATTGATTGCAACACAATACAAAATATAAAAGTAAAACCCTAGAGAGAGTCATACAAGAAAGAAAGAAAAAAAAACACTGAATAAACAAACAAGTCTATAAGATACAGATAACGCAGCGAGAAAAAAAAAAAAAACCATACCTTAGGTGATAGAATCCGAAACGAAGAACCTAGTGGATAAATCACGTGTTTCACAAACCACGAACTAAGAACACCCAGCAATGGAGTGATATCACAGTATAAGTATCACCCACACTAGTCACAATGCAAAGGCTTGATCGTTATTCTAATAGGAGAGAGTTAGAGAGAGAGAGAGAGTATGGGAAAAATCATTCGTTATTGGATTCATCCCTACATCCCATATTTTGTATCTAATATATAGACCAAATATCTAACCATCTATCCATATTTCCTAAGGATAGGATAGATATAGATAGTGGGTTATCCGAACAAATAGGATAATCAGGAAATCAAATTCAAATTACATGGGTAATTTAAATGGGCCATGGGTCATGCCACATGGGCAACCAAATCCGGGTCCAATACCCGGCCCAATTTCTAACATTTCCCACTCGCACATGAGTTGGCACAACACTGCCACATCTCTATCTCAATCACCCCAAATATTGAACAATGCCATACTAGCCAATGAACCGTGCAACCACTGAGAACACCTACATGTGGAAGTTCTATACTAGAAACTCAAAATGAGCTAGCATAGGGACATCAACCCAAAAAGAATAGAAATAGTGTCTCATATACCCCAGACCAATCTAATTACACTGGTCCAAAAAATATCTCTAATCCCTCAAAAGAGTATGTTTGACCCTCTCAATTCTTGCAATATATTCACACTCAATCTGCCTCTCATATAGAGCGATGTGAGTTGCCGACAGTGAATATACAAAAGTGGTGTAATACTAGATGATCTTCCCTTCGCCCTCATGCCATTTAGTTTAGGATTGACCACTTTCCCAGTGATATCCCTTAAGGCTGAATCATACATAACCGCAAGCAATATATCAAAGTAGCAGAACATCAACCCCTTACCTTATGACATAGTTAAAGGTCACAAAAGGGTACATAAGTAAAAGACATATAAGTAATGACACGTAAGACTCACACGGTGAGGAAACAAGGATCCATTCTCTCACCTCATTACTCGGTCGCCAAGCACATGTAGTATAAATACATGCTACGATGGAGTAACTCTTCCAAAGAGTCACATCATACTCGATACACCGTACAGATCTTAGTCTAGTTGCTATGCCTCAAAAAGAGACTATTCAAATTGCGCATAACTTTAGAACAGTTTCGCGTCATAATGGAAAGTCAACCAAATCCTAGAAATGGTTAATCCTCAAAGACTTTGTCTTAAACTGCGCAACATTGATCTGTTTTTCTAATACTAGGGGACTAGAGAGCCTTCGGCATTATCCTAGGCTCTTTATCATCTTGCGAAGCATTCATGAACGTTTCCCTCTCAATCACCTAGTGATGATGTGAAAGATTTTTACATTCGCTATCATGCAACTAAGAATGTAGAGAATTTTTCTCTAATGGAGTAATCCATTAGTAGGCACATTGCTCCCACTGTCCCTAGGATATTGAAAATTTCTTTCCATTCTCAATTAGGCTATGTAAAGCGCTATACTTAGAATTCTCTATCTTATAGAGTTCCAAAACTCTATTAATGTCACCTTTACTAAGAAAACTTTATATGACTTAGTTACACTCCCACAAAGCTACTCACCTATAAGCACATGACCTGGAGGGTTTACATAACTGCACACAATAATGCGCCACATGACCGTAAGTGTTTACAAGACAGCATACAATAATGCGTCATAGAAGTCTAAGTCTTAACTTCGCAATCTTATGAGAAGTAAAATAAAGATAAGCTGCTTGATGGTTACAAATCGCCTATAGATGACTCTCTGCTAACCCATTACTCAAATAGAGTGTAAAACTTGATATGAAGGGCACTAAGTTAGGGATATAGGCAACAAACTAAAGTGCAATTCCCAATTGAGAAACATATTGCGCCATCATCCACCTAACATAAACAATACTTAATTCTTTATCTCTACTACACCATTGTGTTACTGAGTATTAGGAATAATCAATTTTCTAAGCATTCATTTGTCTTCACAGAGCTTTCTAAAAAAAATAACTCAAATAGATACTCGCCACCTTGGTCAAAAGTAAAAGCACGAAAGCTCTTATCTAATTGATCTCAACCTCATATGTGCAGTGTCAAAAATCAACTTAAAACTTTTGACTTATGGGAGATCAAATAGTCTTGATTAAGATGCGTATTGTAATTTATAAATGTGTTGAGATTGGGGCTATCATACCCTTACACATATCCAGTCACAAATATCATAGTGGACTAAATGCGCCAATACAGATGCCCTTCTGCGGCTTTCCTACTTACTTGTGCGCAACCATTGCCAACAAAGTTACACATTCACATGAGAGTAGGATGTCACAAGCGAGTGAACCCGAGAGGGCCTACTCAAACCATCCATGTCATCTTCTCATTAATGTGATTTAAGTATAATAAGCCACCTGTTCATGACCAATATCATGAACTAATTCCAATCATCCTAATTTGTGAGTTCTCAAAGACAAGTGCAAAGGTTTAGGCCCAACTAGGTAATGACTCACGACTAATTCATGTTCACTAGATCATAAAAGGATGTCATGGAGATATTAAGTGTGCCTAAGTCGTAAATTTAACTAGTAAGTGCTAATCTCCTGCGCCTTCAAGTCAATTTTATTCTCCATACACTTTATTGCATCTAGTTGAAACATGACGATACTCCTCTTACCATCTTTGTTTCTCGCTTCATAGTTAGTTGCAATTAATTCTACTATCCACAAGAAGGAGAGAATACGCTACCAATCTATGACAGCTCCTGAAGTAACTTAAGCGTGAATTAGGCTAAAGAGTCTAATTCAACACAATGCTCTCTCGAGTAATGCGTCAAATTCTTAGAGTGATAACAACCTTGTTGGCCTTGACCTTTTCATTACTATACTGTAACTTTTGCGCTTAGAGGTAAACGTCATTCAAAAGCGTTAGCCTAGCTAAGGAATCATACAAACAAGCACATCCTCATATCTCACACTCAAGTGAGAAAATAGTAAGTGTTCAGACTTAGACAAGTTGGCAATGCTAATAGCTTTTGCAGCCACTAGACGCTAATCTTTTCACTTAGTGTTAATAGATTTTGCAACTTCTAAGCGCTAATCTTTTAGCTTCAAGTGATACTTCAATGCACACTATTAAAGTGCGTGAAATTTTGCTCCATCTACTCTCATCAATTGGGTAGAGAGCAAAACACTACTCATACTAGCTACTCGTCTTACACTTAATGACTAACTCATTTAAGCTCGCATTTCTTAGATGATATGACTCTTAAATGTTGCTTTATCCAATGATGCAACATTGTTACAAGTCAAATTATAAAGTCAATCCATGCAGCTCAATAGTTAGGATCATATACAGATCTATTAAGGGCTTACTAATTTTCATAACTCCAAACTCGCCAATCAAAACTACTTAGCATGCCGCTAACCATAGCGCACACATTGGTTTTTATTGCGCCAAACAAGACAACAAAACCACGGCGACTTTGAGTTATGTTTCCTTACTTTGGCTCAATTAAGGTCTGACCTAAAGTCTCTAAGACTTTCTGCTCATCTAAAGAATAGGATTACATTGTTCACATTTGAACATCTTTACTAAGTCTAGGTCAACCAAATTAACTTCCATTAACTAAGTCAATTTAGAGGGAAAAAAAATGTGCATTGAGATTAATTTGATTAGCATATTATAATATAATTTTATCGTAAAAATCTAAATTAAATAATGACAATATTACACAAGTCGCAAGATAGAAAATCTACTATGTTCGTAATCATTTCTTGCGCCAAAAGTGACAATTATCCAAAATTTAATTTAATTCATGCGTAGAACATTAGCTTTCGGGAGTAAATCTATAAAGATTTCTCTCAATCAAACAACCTCCCACTAACTATGGCATGTCTAAAGTAAGATAAAATATTAATTCCATACAATAGCATCTTAATGTAAATTTACAATCGACTCATGCTATATTTCATGGAATAAAACTAATCATGCTTCTTTAATCACAACATATTACAAACTCTAGGCAAAAAATAACAATATGTTGTGTTTAATATTCAGATTATGC